GCTTTACAATTAAAAGTTAGGGTTTTAGGCAGATTCCATGGATGAATATTAAGAGAACTGTGATATGAGACATATGAGAAGTACCAAAGAAATAAAACCAAACCTGATCAGGCTGGGCACCATTGTGAGAAAAGTAACAGAAGCATAAAGAGAAAATAGTCATAAGCTATCATTTGCAAGAAAGCTATCATTGACAAGAAAATAGTCATAAGCTATCATTGTACACATTAAATTCCTGAATTGAGCTGGACAGGGAAAAAGATAGCATTGTAAAAATGGCCATTGCTGCAACTAAATACTGAGGAAATCAATGATATCACTATAAATGATGTGTAACAAGAAATTTCAGAATAAGATATTATGATAGACAAGAGACATTTAGACAAGTGAATCTACCTCTGTGTTAACAGGGTAGGAACAAGAGAATTTACATGAAATAGAATAAAGCTGGCATTCATTCATTTTCTGAGAGGCAGAGTGATTGGTTTTATTTTATGAGTATAATACTTTTTTATATTCTCACACCTCAATCTCCTTCTGTCAAGAGAAAGCTTCTGTTTTATGGTATTTGCAGACTGTCTGAACCACATTGCCTTTCTAACCTTTAACACTGCTAGATAAAAGAAGATTTACTTAAGGATGTAATTGGAGAGAAATACTAAAATGCACTTTCCCCTCTGTCTGAGTGGTTATTAGGATTTTCTCCTTATCTGTGAAGTTGTGGAATCAGTGTATAACAGCTCCTGGTCTGAGAGCGCCAAGAGAAGAGAAATTAATGAGCAGTGAGTGGATTCTATTTTAATGTAGTTACATCCGTATTCCAGATTTAAAACTTCAGATAACCCTATGTTAGAGAAGGTTGTGGGATCAAGTCATGGGCAACTCAAATGATAATGCACAAATTGTTCATTTTATTTTTGTTCTGCTGCTCTTCCAGATACCTTACCGTTTATTGCAATTTCTTTCTGGAGTTGTTATATACTATGAAGTGCAGTTTCTCCTCCGCTAGGGCAGGGATAGGTAAATATCCACCTATGGGCTGCATCTGATCTGCCAGAATTAGCCCCTGGTGGGCCCCCACACTGCTATATTTACCTGCGTCTCCACAGGTAAAAGGGAATCACAGCTCCCATTGGCCACAGATTGCCATTCCTGGCCAATAGGAGCTGCAATTGCTTGTACTAGTGGAGGTGCAGGTAAATATAGTGACAGTGGCCCCCCAGGCATTAACCCTGGTGAACTGCCATTGATTTATTCCCATCTCTGCATTAGGGTAATATTATTTATGAGTTCTCTTTAATTGCTCAGTGCATTCATTAATCTTTTGTACTATCTTCTCCATAGACATCTCTGTTTGTGATGAATGGGAGGGATAACACCCTTTTGTGGACATTCCAGCTATTCAATCTGCTAAAGTCTTTTCATCACAGTTGTAAATTCTTGAAACTTAATCCTAAATGTCTTCCCTGTAAGGGTTAAAACCATAGACAGTGGGTCCTAGAGAGTCTCCAGTAATGCTATGGAAACAGAAAGTGAGTTGGCAGGTACCAGGAGAGTCAATTGAAAATGTGAGCTTCTGAATTAGAAGCAGTGATCTTCCTGTATCCATCTTTGTCTGACTAAAGTGGAGTCTGGGAGACATGAATTAAGCCAGGAAAAACAGGCATAGAGGATTCAGCATCATCCATTCCCAAGGAAGGACTAAATCTTGGAATAATAGATATGTGAGTAGAACAGGGAATGTTTAGTCAGATGCGATCAGGTTAGTCCCTTTATTTTTGGTTTGTGGACTTTTCTGTGTTGAGCACATGTACCTACCTTCCTTACACTGTAACTCTCCAAACTGAATCTCAGGAAAGCAATTCTCTGCGTTTTAATCTTTTTTTTTTGGTTGCTCTGTAACACCTAGCAACCAGGTAATGTTTCACCAAATGTTTTCTTTGTTTTGTTAACAAAAATGACTTTTTAAAAACCATGACCTGATTCCTCTGTCCTAAAAGGCAGGAGATTCTGTGTGCTTGTACCTAGCACTGCTAGGCCAACTATTAAGAAAAATTAATTTTTTTTTTAAAGATTTCTGCAGAGGGAGGGTTGAAGAGATTGAGGGTACCCCACAGGAAGGAATTACCAGATGCACCTTCCTGGGTTTTCAACGGGGTGTTTGCATTTGCATGATAGCAGCAATACCAAGTCAAGGCCAGAAAATCTGTGACATTGGGAAGTTTTTATATAGAAGCTTTTAGTGGCAGGTCTCTCTCTAATACCAAGCATTTGTGTACTATTGATCATTCTAGCACTTATTTAAACTAAGCTTATAAATCTTTCATATTCCCGTTTTATTCATTTCCCTGCATGACAGATTGTTTCCACATACAAAATGTAACTTTCAAGGTTTTTTTGGTTTGTTTTTTGCCCATAAGATGTCCAAAAGTTCTCTTAATTTAAAAATATATACATTTTCTGGGGCTCTTATCCATTTTGTCCACCAACAAACCTTTTGAGAATGCACCCATCACTGAGGCTGTGTCCAGTAGCCTTTTTTCGAAAAAACTTCACCTGCGTCCAGACTCAAGCTGCGTTCTTTCGAAATTAAATCGAAAGAACGCGGCTTTTCTTTCGTTGGCAGTAAACCTCATTTCACGAGGAAGAACGCCTTCTTTCGAAAGTTCCTCTTTCGAAAGAAGGCGTTCTTCAATGTAAATAGGGCTTCTTCGAAAGAGAGCATCCAGACACACTGGATGCTTTCTTTCGAAAAAGCAAGCCGCTTTTTCGAAAGTTCAATGTGCAGTCTAGACGCTCTCTTTCGAAAGAGGCTCTTTCGAAAGATACTTTCGAAAGCGCCTCTTTCGAAAGAGGCTTGCAGTCTAGACATAGCCTGACAGACATATTAAATTGGATATAACAGAGATTGCTGGCTTTATGACTATTAATATGTTACTCTGCAGGCTAAAATAAAGATTAAAAATTCATTACTACAGAGCAAAATTTTTTCCAGAAACCAGAAGTGGCCTAGTTCAAGCTCACAGAGAAGAGTCTCATTCACTTCAGTAGATTTTGGACCAGATCCAAGATGTGTAGCAAGCATTCAACCAATGTTTGCATTTTTTAACACTGGTAGTAAGAATCTCACCTGAATTATTGACAGTATATTTAACTTCTTTGCTAT